TTGTATGGAAGTTGAGACTCAAACAAGAATACGTATAAACCCTGGCGCTCTGGTAGTTGATACCAAGAACTGGCCAATGCCAAGGTTTTTTCCAATGTGTTTTCCTCTTCCAACGATGCCGGTGCCTGTGCTTGCTTCGGTCAATACAGCTAAAGCTGAAGGAAAAAGGATCATGTCCAGCAGATTATCTTCGAGAGATGCAATATTCACATCGATGCAGGCGTTCCAAGGCATGGTGTTGACCAAGTAAGTGGAGAGTGGGCAACATGCTGATTGAACAGTTTCATTTTCCTTCCCAAAAATGCTGGACCCACCAGGTCTCCGGACGAAGGGGAACGGCTTTCGGCAGCGATAATCGGACAACACCCCGTCTTTGATTCACAAAAGAGGAGATGCCAAGTAGTTTGATCTGTAAGCCCCTGCTTTGGGCCACCATATCAACCCAATAGACGCGCAAATGCGTCAGGAATCATATCAGTACACATGCAAACCATGTTGGAATACAACATTACCAGGAACTAAAGCTGCTCAAACTTTAACAAAAGTTATACCACCGCGCACCATGGTCACCACAACATTAAAAATTGTGCCGTCGGCAAAAAAACTGTATGACATAAGGTCGCATCATTTTTGCTGGTGCTGTTCGGTTGACAGTTCGGTTCACCATGACCTTTGCATGTTTACTTCGTCGCTTGATGGTTGATGCTGGGCTGGGCTGTGAGCTGCTATGATCCACATTGAAAAGGTTCCAAGGTTCATGAAATCTAACAAAATGTCTTTTTGAGAGTTCATACCGATTCATACCCTCAAAAGCCCATCACGCTCACACACTTAGATAAAGAGTCATCCGGTAAGATAATCCACGAGGAAAGGAACGCTGCAACGGAATGGTGGCTGAGTCCGTGGGAACCGAATGTTTGAACAGTTGCGGCTTCACTTGACTGCGAAAAAACTCTCAGCGATGATGCAGCTGCAAGTCGGCGGGAAAGTGGGTGTTGGGGTCTATCACGAGAACTACCATGGCAGCAAAACACAGCGGTGGAGAGTGGAGTGTTGGCGCAATGGCAGGTACAGAAGTTTGCGTCCAAACTTCCATCCAGTTGATTTCCATAGCTTCGTTGGCGTGACTAGGAAATCAACCGTCATGCGAAAGAGGGAACCCCTGCATGTGGCGTCTGGTGAACAAGAAACCGAATCTCCTAGAAACGAAGTGAGACACACACACACACACATTCTCGTCCGTTCCCATCCGGTCCGGCCGTTCCAGACGGCTCGTTCCAGGCGAAACCCGTGGCGTGGCGACGTCGCGGGTGGGGCGCGCCGTGAAACTCAGCAGGGGATGATGTCCTTGGAGAGGTGAGAAGGCCAGGTGCATCGCTGCCATCGTGTGCAAGGTCAGGTGGATCAAAGGGTAGGTCGCCTCGTGTGGAATTTGGAAAAAGGGGGTCGCAGGGTCGTTCAGGATGAACGTGTTACGTTCATAGCTTCTTGTTACTAGTATAGTAATGCCAGGAGCTAGGTTTGTAGCTTTTTGCTACTAGTAGCGATGCCCTTCGCTACTAAACCAGTAGCGCAAGGTTTGCAGCGGTCCACTTAACACACAAAGTACTGAGTTTGGGGAGCATTCCCGAGACAACGTCGAAGAATTCCCCCCCAAGGATGCAAAGAAAATGGTCATTGGTGGATTTGTGAGAGGCGAGCTGAGGAGTGCTGTGGGGAACTCTTTTCTATTTTTCTGCTCTGGGGGAATAGCACTGAGCCGTGTGGAACGTCAAACATCATTCCTTAACCATACAACGGGTGTCCAACGGAGATCTTCAAGTAGTGTAGTCCAGCCAGGACACCAGACAGGATGGTGGTCGGTACGACTATCTGGTTTGACTATGCTTGACTCCTTGAGGTTTACCAAGTTCAATCTCTTGTGGTTTGCACTTTTGAACTTGGTAAACCTCAAGGAGTCAAGCCACAAGAGACACCTCGTGGTATCACCTCGTTTTTGTTCAGTTTTGATTTTAGCTGATGACCTCGACATCCATCCATCAAGGTTGATCGAACACATTTTCTATACTGAAATCAGTGGCAAATGGCCCTGAAACATGACAATGGTTCATGTCCATGTTATTTTTGTTTTTCAGGGAGAGTGAATTAATCCCTAAAAAGAGGGAGCAACGGCATGTGTATTCGAACGTCCCGCTTGTCGATGTAAGGGAACATTTGAGGTGGATGAAGAGCCCAATACCCTACCCAGGTGGATCCCAGGAATTCCACTATATGTAAAGGAACTATAGGCTATAGTGCGGCTATAGGATATTGTATAGGATACTGTAGGGTTTCTAAGTCTATGGTTTTAAGTCTTTAACAGCTATAGTTTGGGTGTATCCTATTCCGACACTTCGTAAAGGCCCTTGCTTTTCTGATCTTACCTGGATCTCCGGGGCTAGGGATGCATGGACTCATGGACCTGGGAAAGGTGGACCTGCGGATCCATGGGCTATCCGGAGGGCATAGAATCACTTGCCAAGTGGGTTGAAACCCTGAAATGAGGGTGCAAATGATGAAGCATTGCTATACAATCAAATGACTAGCATGCTTTACAGAGCATGCGATTGAGGAAAAGACTCGCGGGAGATGACATGAAAACGACGACTCACCTCAGGTACCGGTCATGTCCCGTTTTCTAGGCCGTTGGTGGGACACCCTCTGTGGGTGCGCAAGCTGCACAAGCTCAGAGCGTGTCAATGTCCGCCCTTGAGATCAACATTGAACCTCATGTCAATGTCACCAGTGCCTCTTGGTGTGTCAGTTGCCTCAGTCCATGCATCAAATTGCTTCAGTGCAGGTCCATGCGCGTTTTTCGGTGCGGATGAGACCGGACATCCTCCCATTCTCTGCAGTCCCCCAAAGCGCCGCTCCCGCCGCCTGCAAGCGCTCCATCCCTCCCTCCACCTGCCAAGGCACTCAGAAGGTCTCGCGACGCCGCGTTCCCCCGCAAACAACAGGTGAAATGGGTTCCAAAGTTTGCAAATCGAAGAAACTGCTTGCTTCTAAGGGATGCCAATCTCCTGAGCTAAAGGAAGCCTCAAACTCGACTTTGTGGCCTCTGAATTTCTCCCTTGAGGTTTAGAGTCTGAAGTGACCTCGGGTGCGAGAAACCAAACCAAATGCTGCAGAGGCGGTTCGGACAGTTTGCCCTCTTCTCCACATCGATCTAGAGCCTCCAGTTCGTACCCTAGAACATGAGACTCTTACTAACTTACCAAACACAAGTAATTACTTACTTACCCCTTTTCCAGGGTACTTATCCTTGTTGACTCCAAAAACAACAATAGGCTTCTCCCGGCTCCGAGCCCCAACCATTCCATAGCACGTCGCCTTGGCGGAGATGCGCACCACAAAGGACACACTCACGCAGAAGCACAGCAGTGCCACGAAGATCCTTGGATGTGGTTTGGATGATGAAGAGAATAGCTCTATTGTCTTGACAAATAGCTCCAGGCATGGAAGATAGACATCTTATTTACCTACCTTTGGTTGGTTTGAGGGATGTCCGCAATATATTCAATTATATATATATATATACATGCATAGGTTTCTGTATTTATATACTATATATTATATATATATGATATGTATATATCAGTCCCAGTTGTCGTGTGTGGGATTGAGATGCGTGGGCGCAGCATCTACTGACTGTCAGCAAAAGAAGAGTTTGCAACTAATACAGGAGCCATTCTTCATCTCATATCATGTTTTGAAGCAAGATCGCATGGAGTGGAATGCGCCGCACTCATGGAGTGGAATGAGTGGGATCAGGTGGTAAGGAGGGTGCTTTGGACATTGTTTGTGGATCCCCGATCCATTCGCGTAAGGAGGGTGCTTTGGATGAAGGATGAGGGCGATGAAAAGTACTGAAGATCGCCTGAACATACAAAAACCAAGTGGATGCAAGCCTTGAGCATATCCATGCGACGAGCACCCCAGTCTCGGGTCTTAGTGAGAAAGAGCCTGAAGAAGATGGTCTGCATCTCTTGGAGTCTTAGATTCAGGGGTTCCTGGCATGCGTGGTCTTCATGGGACACGAACAAAACGTCACTGAAGGTCCAGAGTTGCCAACAGCCCAGGTTCCGACAGACCAACAGCGCTGAGATCCATTCCCTTCCAACACAACGGCCGCGGCTTGCAATGACCGGCGTTCAGGTGTCGTTTTGTTCCGCAACTCAAACACTGGACGCTCCGCGTGAGTTGCTTTGGGACTGGAGAGTAGTTCTCTCCGACTCCTCAACCTACCTTCGAAGCCAAAGTAGTGTTGCCATTCTTTGCCGAACTGAACCTGGAGGGATTTCCAGTTGAACACGCGCAGGATCGAACCGTTTTTCGGACAGGATTGAGCCTCGCGTTCTGGTGTTGGCCTAGTTCCAAAGCTCCCACACCGTTCGGAGTCAAGGTGCGTTGGTGGCTGCAAGATCTGTGCGGGGCTGAGTGGTCGAGACATCGAGATGGTACCACTCAGGTCGTCTGGAACGAAGGAAACAGTCGTTGAAACGGTCATACTGAGCGCTCGTATTCTCGACTCGTGTATTCTCGTGTATTCTCATTCCGGAAGGAAACATCGTGCCATGGCATGCCATGGTGACCCACATCCATTGATTGCAAAAGCCACAGTGATGAGCTATATAATTTCACCAAGAAAATGGATTCTGTCTGCTGATATCTTCTATTGCCTGTTGGGGTAGTCTTGGCTAAGAAGCTTTTGACACCTTAACAGAGTGTGGTGTACCATCTCGCACTTCAAACCCCCTCTTTTGTATATAGAGGTTGTGTGTATCCTCTTTCCTGTAACAGTGGATCACGATGGTTAGTAAAGGCCTTTCCCTCAAATAGTGATTTGCTTGTAGACGGGTCCTGTTGCAGGTCATAGGATAGTGACACAACCAACAAAGAGGGACATTCCATCCTGCTTTCCGGGTTGCAGACCTCTCACCTCCAGCATTCCCCCACCCTCACCCCCCCGGCTCGACCCCCGCCTTGCGGCCACCCAGCAGGGGAACCCAGGTGGGGATCCAATGGTCTCTGAAGTTGGGTCCCAGAATCCCGGGCAAAGCAATCACCAGCCTCAGGACGAGAATCGGAGGCTAATAGGCAAGACTCCGGCACCGAAGTACCCAGGTGTGTGGGAATCCTCCACTACCCAGGTGTGGGGAGAAATGAGTCCTGCCTGGAAATTGGAGGGTCATGTTCGAAACCGTCCATGTATATATGCCTACAATTGACCCCTGACCCCCCCCAATGTGGGTGAACAAGATGTGTTCCTAGAGCATGAAGCAGGTTGCCCCTTGATCCAAGTGCTCCTGACAGAAAACCCTGGTAAAGTATGGTAAAGTGAGGCAACCAATCCCCCACAATGGTTGAGCAGGATAAGTTAATCCGCGTTTCGCATTCTTGTCGTTTGCAGCTCTCGCGATTCGATTCCCAAGTGGCATAGACGCGAACTCGCCTTCTGTGATGCCACGCTGGTCGAGTGAGCCCCATGTCAACTCACCCCACTGGGCTGAAAACCAGGCACCGTGGAACATGCAATAGGCCTCAGCCGCTGAGCTTAGCGCATCTGGCGTGGCAAACTGCGGGTCTGGCTGTTCATCTGGTGGTGATGGAAGGTGGGAACAGCATGGTCCAAAGCTGCGTATAAGCTGTCTATAAAGAATATGTAACTGTAGACTATAGACTCTAGACTCCTGATATACTAACCAACATATGGACATGAACAAGCATTCTGGATAAGGTGATGTAATGGGTGGTTGTATTTATAGTTCTACAATGTTATATATAGCCTCTTTTGATCCATGTAACAGCCCACCTTCCAGTGCTCCCAGCCTTTGTTCTGGGCCTCCCCTCCCCACCTACTCCACCTACTGCCAAGGCGCCAGCATGAGCCATGGATCCTCCAAGGCCGGGTCGGCCGTCACAGTGACGGCCACGCCCGTGGTGAAGGCACAGAAGGCATCGATGCCATGGTCCACCTGGGGAGGGGAGGCCACTTCGGTCGATCTGATCCACTCGATCCGACCGAACGGAGGCGATGGACATCGGAGGTGAATCAGTGGAGCGGAACGCAGCTAGCAGCTAGCTGCTCTTCCTCATCTCCGCGGAGAGCATCGCTACGGATGTCAAAATGCTACACATCAGACATCATGTTCAACTAGAACAAAAGCTCCAGGACAGGGGAAGCCCCTATAGTCACACCCGAGCCGAAAGGAAGTGTCCTTGGGGTCGCCAAAGCACCTATGTATGAATTTGGTCTATCCTACCTGTAACGGTGAACGATGATGGTTAGTAAAGGCCTTGTTCAAAAATAGTGATTTGCTTGTTTACGGGTCCTGTTACAGGTAATAGGACAGGCCAACAATGACATGAGGCGGTCTTTGCCTCGGAGCTGCTTTGTGTTTGTGATCTTTGTGGGCGACAAAAACCACGGTGACCTGTGCGTTCGGCTTCACCGAGTTTCCATGGACGGTCCACCTGACCCTCTGGACCGAGGGCTTGGGGGTCCCTAGTCCGAAGTCCCATGTTTTCGAGCGAACAAACTCCGTTCGGTTTGCGTCCGATTGCTCCGTTCGTAGCGATGCCAGGAGCCCCGGTCGTAGCTTCTTGTTACTAGTAGGGCCAGGAGCCCCTAGTAGCGTCCTTGGACGGTCCGGGTGCTTGTACCCGGCGAAACCGCTGTATGAACGGGTAAACACCCCAAACAAAGCACGCGTCCAGACTGAAGTGCCGTACGTTTGTGGACTGGGCAGGTTCACATAGGTTCACCATGAAGGACCTGAAAGTGTTGGCACTAAGGGAAGCACCTGGATTCAGCCATTTCATACCCTCGTAAGATGAGTACAAGTATATAGTTATACCGTTTTTGTCTGATGTTCTTTGTTTTTGTTTCTCTTCTGGTCGTAAACCGCAGACTCGTCGTCTGCACTTGGAGCTTGTTAGGCATAACCATGGCATCTCTCGCTCTCGGAAGCGTTAGACATGCCGCTACCGCGCCCAAGGGTGTACTCTGCTTGGTGTTGCGTGCGTGCTTCCCATCCACTGCATCGCAGGTCATGTACCTGAAAAACCGCACGACACGCGACAAATGAAGGATGGTGGTTCCCAAGACGAAGCACTTGTGAAACAAAGCAACCCAAATTCTGGAATTGCATAGACCCAATGAGAAATGGTTACTTGTTGACATGGCCATGCTCCTTGCACTCCAGGCCATGCTCCTGGTGAAACCCTCCTGTTCTTCGGCGGTACGAACCGGCGTACTCACGTTCCCAGAAACGATCGAAGTGACACTGCCTATCGAACTGAAGGCACCCAGTGTGAGAAGGAGTCTGGATCTACTCAATATACCTTTGACTCAGAAGAGGCTTTGTGAATGAATGAAGTGGCCGCTCATGAGACACATGGAGTTGCTGATTCATGATCCAGCATTCCTTCATGTGGCCCTAAACTGCATTCAATTGTCAAGCCTCACAACAACTATGAAACCTGCTAAGCCAACAAACCAGGCTCGATCACCACAAGTTGTTGCACGCAAAAGGCAATAAAAAAATGTATTTATGTTATATATATATAGATAAATAACTGAAACACAAAACCAACAACCTTGGGCGTGGGTTGCATATAGTAAAACTAACAAATATTTCAATACCATTTGTCGATCGAACGACTCCTGAAGATGTTCAATCAGAAAAAAAACAATGACATGGTGATCTATATACTCTGACTTCGCCAAGGCTCCAGGGCCCAAAGAGGTGCCATCTCTTCTACATCTCCGAGATCGGGATGTCATTTGACGCCTAAACTGGATTATCTCACCACGCACACATCCACCCCCTCCGCGCCCGAACCACAAAAGAACAGCGGCTTGAAACCCCGCGGTCGTCCAGACCCGCGTCCCCCAAGTCTATAGACTCTATAGTTCAGAACGTGTTTGACGCCACCGACCGGTGGTGTTTGACGCGACCCAGATGCACGAAGATCAGCGCAGGCCCCGCAAAGTACAAGGGCGCCCGTCTCCAGCCTCGGATGGGCCGCCGCGGAGCCGGGAGAAGCGACCGGGTTCTGCTCGGGAGACGAGCGACTTCGCTCCGGAGGAAGAACAAAGGCGGCGGGGGCCGTTCAAAAACATCACATCCAGCTGCGATCCCCTTGCCCACCGTGTTTTCAAACATCACATGAGACTGTTTTTTGTTTTGATTTTTTCAAGTGTCCTTCCAATCTGTGCGAACATTTTGTCTGGCATACATCGATCATACCTTCATCACAGATCGCGCAAAACACCATCTTCCGATCCGATCTCCGCATCTCCGGAGTCGATGCACAAGCTCTAGCCGCCCAGAATCCGGGTCAATCTACAAGAGCGTGACCATCAAGTCCTAGCCAAGTACGTCATATACAGGATCTACCTGAAGAGGAAGGACATGTTCCAGAAAATGTCAGAGATCGACAGGCATATTGCAGTGCAATATTATGTTGGGCTTGCAAACATCCTTTACCTTAGCAGCATTTGTGTGTGACTTCCATGTGGATGTCTTTGCAAAACCGATTTCAAGCGTATCCTCAACTCTGGGGGGCCAATATTAAGAGCTTTTGTGATCATCGTTTGGTAGAGCAGCTCGGCATCGTCCCATCCGATGACAAAGTTCGTGACGACATGGGACAAACACACACAAACACACGGAAACAAAAACAAATCATACACAACCCGAATGGCACACCACGCATGCCATGTAATGTATTGTGTATACTACCAACATTGGGATACTTTGAGGAGACAACGTACCGATGGTAAATATTCTATTTACATGGAGTCATGGAGTGTATAGACAAAGGTAATTCAAGAAGAACGTGACAAACATGAAGTTCGTTGAGCCAGAGGGGCCAGAACAAGCAACCCTGCTTTGGAAGCCTTCTTCCTCTGATTCCTCTGGCAAGTGTGTGTGTGTGTGTGTCTTGAAGCCACACTGGGCTGCACTTGTTGGCACGGCAGAGAATTCACTGTCCCAAGCATATCATAAATAAATATACCTCGGATGAAAACTGGATCCAATTCGCGCAGCCAGCCGAAGGCTGCGTGGAGCGAGCGCTCCATGCGTCGAGTCCGGCCGCAACACGGAGGGTCTGACCAGTCCCTTCTGCAAGCTATGCACGGAATGGGTCTAGCTGGTGCGACTCCTGCTTGCGTTGTTTGCGGATCTGTTCGGCTTCCGTCTTCGGGGACGTGGCTGAGCACAACAAGTTCGATCAGCCAGCTGCTGTTCAAGGGAAGAAGAACAGATCCGCATGGGGGTCCATCAAAACCACCTCTTGGGGTCTGTGCCATCTATAATACTCTCCATAGACTGTATTTGGACCATGGATCCAATAGCTCCATATAGCTCCCATGTGCTTTGCAATGTGCGACCTCCGTCAACGCCGCACTTGCCCTGGCACCCCCGCACTCCGAGCAACGGTTGGCGACCACCGTCAAGGCCGCGGCCAGCGCGCAACAAAGGCCGCCGATGACCTGGGGCACGTCGTGGGGGAGCCCGGGGTCGCTGCCTTAGGACTCCGACCTCAGAAGGTATACTAAGCTTAGTCCCTAGGGATCCAGTTGTACCTTCTGAGAAGGCACGACTGGACCCTCCTGGCACCTACATAGCGGTGTCTCCGTCTTCACCTGCTGAGAAGGTACTTACTTGGATCCCTAGGGAGTATACTAAAACGATCGAACCAGAAAGGTCTACGACCGCCGGTCCAGGTCAAAGGGGTTATGGCCTCCAAAACGACCCAGTGCCACCAAAACGACACAGAGGTCCTGGGTTCCCTACAGTGAATCCTGTGACTCCCACTTTCCCGATGGATCCAAGTGACCAAGTGCATCAGCAAAAGCCACTCCATCTTTGTGGCGGAACTCTGTCATTAGAGTGACTATGCTTCCCAAGACCAAGAGCCTGTTCTTTGCCGTTCTTGCGAAGCCACCAGATCGAAATCAAAGTTGAGCATATACCTTTCTCCTGTGATCGTAAACACATGTAAAAATACATCAACCCTAGGGTTCCAAGTGCTTGCTCAGAAGCTGTTTTGACCCTCGAAACCTATCCCGAACACCTTCGAGCACATTCTCTGGAGGTACTTGGAGCTCCTGGGCAATCAACCTCAACTCCAGCTGCATGAGAGCCTGCACACCTAGCCTCCTCAGCTTTAGGCGAGGGTGGAATGAGAATGGAATCTACTTCAGTGGCAACTCAGTTTTTCTGCATCCCGCACTGCTTCAGATCATTTGCCCAAATTGTGCACATGGATGTTGAAAACAAACTAACTGCCCACTGAGGTGGGGTCTATCAAGCACAACTTCTTCCACCTGGCAGCTCTATATGGGCCATCGAAAACGCGCCGGCCATCGTCAGGCAGGTGGCGGAGATGAGGTTCGGCGAGACCGAGCGCGGGATGCGCTTGGCAACACCTCGATGTGGGCGATGTGAGGTTGGTGTTGGTCCCAGATGATCCATCTATGGAATAGTTGATAATAGTTGCAAACATTCAACACCATTGATGGCCCTGTATCATATATATATATATAAGTAAACTAGTACAGTCTCATGGATGCCTCCTGTTTGATCTGCCGAAAAGCTAACGGTTGAGTGGGTTCAACGTTCATCTGCTGAGTTGGTTGAGTTGATGCACACTGACTGTAGAAAGAAGACTCCAGCTTTAAAAAACTCTCCCAAACACTCCATACACGTGTCCCTAGAGCCTCAGAGTACTTCAGAAAATGGGTACAAACAAGTACATATATACCTGCTTTTGTAGGGTCATGATCACATTGTCTATAGTACACAAAGCTGGGTCCAGGTCCCTGCCGCAAAGCACCACGTCCAGTCCCGTCGATCACCTTCGGCTCTCACGTAGCTGCAAGCGCGACCGCACGCGAGGGCGACCGCACGGGAGGGCGACCGCATGCGGCGAAGAGACCTGTCCAGAAAGGATCCATCTTCTCCTTGGAGGCGTTTGGTTGGTTAGGGTGGCCCTCCTGACCCGTTTGGGCCCAAACGGGCTCCAGTCGTACCTTCGAAAGTGGGACTGTGGCTGGCAGGAGGGCCCAGTCATACCGAACCTGAGGATGTATGCCAGGAGCCCCAAACGGGTCATCTGCAATTGAGGGAGTGATGGTTCCAAAGAATCCTGAATCCTGCCGTGAAAAATAAATAACATGGTTGTGCCATGTTAGTTTGAGGACAAACAACAACACAAATACCAAAAAAACAGAAAGAAGGGAAACTCCTGGGATGTTCCGACTGAGGTTGGAAATACTCTCTGTCATGGGATTGACACCCTTCTATAGAGCTTCTAGTGACTGATCGATTGGAACCGGAACCCCAACCTCGTTAATCCTCCACACAAAATGCACCCGACTCCACATGTGCCTTTCATTGTTTGAAATGGGCTACAAACCGCAGCCTTAATTGATCGAGCGATTCAAATCAATCGCCCAAACCTGCTGACAAACCAGGTTCTCCATGTTGGTGGTCGGGGTGCCAGATCCCGAAATGTCAAGGAGGGGTGCCTTCAATGCAGCCTCTCATTGTCAAACATAGTTCTTCAAACCCAGCAACCGGAGGTTGCCTCCTGGCTTTCAATGGTTGTGTCATGAGACTTTCCCCAGCTGAGCCTCTCATGCTTCACGATCATCTTGAAGTCATGGCCGCTGGGGCAAAAAGGTTCCACTTGGAATTTGCGGTCGAGGGTTCCTGGAACAAACAATCATGCATATTCCCCAGGTTCGGGGGATTCACCCAGTTGAAAACGACCAAATCACCTGATCAGCCAAACTTCTCGGAATCCTTCTGTTGGGGCGATGGAGGCGCGCCTCCTCCCGCGGGAGACTCTTGGACCCGTGGCTCAGGGGTCCGACCGAACCGCACAAAAGGGACGTGAACAAGAAAACCTTCCTATCTTCCGAGGTACGAACTGAGACTCCAGGACATTCTTGATATAATCATACAATACAACATAAATATAATGATATTATATTGTAATATCCATTCTTGATATAATCATAATACACTACAACATAGT